GTGGTATAGATGTTATAGGAGATATTTCTTATTCTGGTTCTATTGGGCCCAGTAGTGATAAAAGATTAAAAGAAAACATACGCGAGTTAGATAGAAATAAAGCAGTAGATTTAGTAAAATACATTGTTCCTAAAACATATAATTATAATGATAAAGAAAAATACTGTAATAGGTCCTGTTGTGGAATGATTGCAATCGATTTTTTAACCGATAAGATGCCGTCAGAATGGGGTAATATTGTTATAAAGGGAAAGATGGATATTTAAGATTTGATTATAGTATGTGTGTCCCCATGTTATGGTCTGCTTTACAATATTCCTTGAAAGAGAATGAGGAAATAGAGATTTGATTAAATCAATAAAAAAGATTTGTCTTCAATGAAAGGAGAAATAACAAAGTTAAAAAAATCTAAAGATTTGTGAAACTTTCTTATTTAAAGCGAAGCTTGAAATAACAAAATTAATAAATAAAGATAAATAGATGATTAAGTTATTTAATGGAAAAAGTTGATAGAAAATAAATATTAAAGTTTGGAGTTCGACTAAGAAAGATACAAAAGAATTAATAATATTATATTATAGTTTTTATAACTGGCGTGAAATAGCCAAGGCCAAAACAACGACAGAAGAAGTATTAAAATAATTAGGAACAATATACATAAATCTAGTTAATAATATTATGGGAAGAAATATTACATGTGTAAGTGTGGCTTGAAGAGACCATCACCTGAAACAGAAGAGGAGAATATGAAACATATTAATACAAAAGAACATCAACAGTTGGTAGAGTCCCGTTATAATGCTAATCCGGAATTCTGGGATAACGTATATAAGAAGAACAAATTGAAAAAATCCAAATAAAATATATATGGGTTTAAAACAATCTAAATCATGTGCCACGGAAAATATGAAACAACTAAAAGAACTTGATATAAAAGAGAAAACAAGAGCAGATATGTTATTATTTAATAAATACTTTGAAAGATGTTATTGAAAGAGTTGAAAGACATTGTGCAATTATTCATTAATATGATTAATAATGTTATTAATAAATAATATTATTAATCTTCATCAGTATCTATATTGAAAAAGTTTATATACAACATCTTATTAACATCTTTAGCATTCGTATTTATATAGAAGAATGAGTAAGGTGCATAATTTACTGCTTGTTGATACATATCATATAGGGCTTTCCTATCAACTAACGCGCTGTTTGCTTCTAGGAAACTATTAACCTCATTCACATTCTTCAACCTGAATATAAACAATGCGCTAGCATTAAGCCTAATAATCGGTGCTAAGACATTGTATTTCTGAGTAGATAATATGCACGAGATGGCATTATGTCTTCCGCGAGTAAATAAACCATGTAGAATGTTTGAATATCTTTCGAATTTAGGGTCGTCTGCGAAATCGTCAACAACAATCAATATACTGAACAACTCTTTTTGTTTGTTCTTCTTTTGAAAATCAATGACTTGATGTTGTGTTTCTTTTATCTTCTTCAATGCTAATGGGTCGTATTCTTCAGAATAAACTTTTTCTTTTTCTGTGTCCACCTTCATAACATCGGCTATATACTTCTTGACTGGTGTCCATGTGTCATCAACATGAATACTAGGAGAAAAAAATATATATTTATATTCTTTCAAAAGAACCACGGTGTATTTTCAATATGATATTTTGAATAAGAACAGTCTTTCCACCAGATGAAGAGGCTACACACAACATCCTAGCAGGTAATTTAGGCATCAGATCACATTTACTATTCTTATACTTATATTCTGGTATGTCTATTGGCTCTACTTTAGGGATATCATCACTCATTATATTTAGTAAGAAAATATCACTATAATTATATAATGGAAACAAATTATAGCGCATATATTCAAACCATTGAAGGTTTAGAGGCCGTTCAAGAAGAAGTCATAAAAGACAAAATGACGAGAAGATGTTGTATGTTAACACTAGAAATAATCAAAACAATAATTCAATATTTTAAGAATGCTAAAAATAAAATAACAAAGAAAAAAGACTAAATAAATTATATATAAAGAAATATTTTATATGAAAATTTGACAGATATTGCCCCCAGACACTGCGCAGTTTGCATTTGCCATAAGCATGTCATAAGAATGTGGTAATGGTTTAATTAGTTTGTTTCGTGCTTTTGGAAGAAGGAGAAGAAAATCCCCCAGTGAACCCCTGCTAAATGTTCTAATATTAATCAAAATATTAGAAGATTTATGTATTAAGAAATACATCAGAAGTGTGCATTTACTACAATATAGGTTCATGGTTACTTATTGTGAATGTTTAGATAGTATAAAAGCATACAGTGATAAACGAAAAAATAACTTAAAAGGATAGTGTCTTTTATATATAACATGGAAGGATCAAAAATTAAATGCTCAAGATGTCACAGTAAAAAACAGTTGAAGAATTCGGCTACAGCAAGAATAACAAATTGTTTGCAACTTGTATTCTATGCAGAGAGAAAAGGAAAGATGATAATCGTAAATACAAAAAGCCAGACGATAAGTCGTCAGAAATATTTACTGTGTTTAACCACACACGACAATTATTGCTCAATGATGAACTTCTTGAGAATTATTTTATGACATTCAGTAAGCAGGATAACAAGGTAATAATTGAAATTCCTATGAACGATGAGGTAAAGGATATCAATAGTAAGCAACCAGGGCAAACCAGTGAAGACAACTCCTTTGCAAAACTTTATCGGATAATGCATTCATAAGTATAATATAAACATACCTCATATGAATTTACGAGATATGAGCTCATTATCATTACAACCTTGTAAACTAAACCTAGTAAACTCTATGAGGGAACCTTTGCCCATTTCGGGATGATAA